TTCCTATTTCACATTATCTATTATACCTTTTAGTCCTTATTTACACTTTCAGGTTCTCACACTAGAGAAACTATTCAGTATTTACACATGTGTGTCCATTTTACATTTTTATCAGTACCATAAAGAGTAATCTAGTTTCTCCATATCTTGCAATGATCTGGTGCCACTACTTTGTAACCATTTTTGGCTGGGAAAAAAAAAAAGAAACAGTAAAATATTCCTGTGAATAAAAAGATTAAACGAGACAGAACTGTTATTGTGGAATACATGTTTATTATAATAATGATATTCGCCCATCATACAGACTTTCGGGATTTAGTCAGTGGACACCAACCATATGTTGTGTTTTTTTGCAAATGTAGGATAAATGAGACATAGAAAATGCTCAATAGAGAACTGAATTCCACTTAATAGAATGTAAGTGATGGTGATCATTTGTTGTACCCTTCTTTAGAGCACCAGGACTGAATACACAGAAACAGTATAACACGTGGTTTGATATACATACCCATTGTGTGAGTTTGTAGTATAGCACTATGGAAAAAGTATAGGACTTGAACTTAGAAGGGTGTTTTTTATACATAATTTTCTAGCTTATGAAAATATGGATAAGAAAATTATCTGGTTATTAATTTTTTGTCAGTAAAGTGAGGATACCATCCTATCACAGGAATGTTTGAGTCATAAATAAGATAGTATTTTCTCTTAACAAAGATTTACTGAGTGCCTTCTGTGTGTTAAGCACTGTGCAAGGCACTGGATTCAGTGATAACTAAGATGTTATCCATGAGTCCAAGGAAGTGATTAAGTGTCAATAAGAAGAGGAAAATGACCTCACATTTATGCCAGATGCTTAATGTATGTCATGTCCTATGTTCTAAGAGCTCTAGGACATAGGTGCAGTTCTTATCATTTAATGCATGGGGAAGCAAAAGAAATTCAAGATGCTTATTTAAGATCATAGTCACAGCAAAGGTTTTAACCTAAACCTCTCTGGCTTGAAAACTATTATAGTATGTGGTTCCTGATGATTTAGTATGATCATCCTGTAAATGATCAAATACTAACTATAAATGATAGTCTTGATAAAATTACTTATTATTTCTATGCTTGGAAGTTTAAAATTTATACCAAGTGTGTAAGCTATTAGGATTTTATTTTAAAATACAGTTCAAGGGCTGGGAGTGTAGCTCACTGGAGGAGGAGTTTGATGGAGAGTTGTCAAACATGGCTTCAGCAGAATGAGTCTTAATGCCCTTGGATTGTCTTTCTTAATCCTGAGGTGGAAAGATATTAGATGTCCTTCTTATTTTTTCATTTTCTTGCTTATTGTTTATTGGTACATTTTAGGTATACATTATGATCACATTCATCATTGGGAATTTGTAGCTGTACATGATGTGTCTTGGTTCTTATTTTTTTCCCATTCCCCCGCCCTCCCTTCAACCCCTTCACCTCTCCCTATTTACAAAAGCTTTGTTGCCATTTTTTCTGTCGTTTTTCATTTTTTTCTTTCCCTTCTTTCCTTTCCCCTGCCCTTCCACCCTAGTTCCCCTCCCCCTTTGAACATTTTCTTCCTGTTTCACAATATCCATTACGCAGTTTGGTCGTCATTTACACTTTCACTTTCTCACATCAGAAAAACAATTCAGTATTTACACGTGTCCAGTTTTTTTCACTTAAGAGTATTGCCTCAAAGTGCATCCATTTATCTGTAAATGTCTCTATTTACCTTTCTTTATGGCTGAATAATACTCCATTTTATTACCAAAAACCCCACATCTTTATCCAGTCACCAGTTGATGGGCATTTGGGCTGTTTCTGAGATTTAGCTATTCCAAACTGCCACTATGAACATGGGTATGCATATATCGCTGTGGTATGATGCTTTTAATTCTTTCAGGAAGACACCCAGAAGGAGAAGAGCTGGGTCAAATGGAACCTCTAATCCTAGTTTTTTTGAGGAATCTCCACACTGATTTCCACAGTGGTTGCACCAGTCTACACTCCCACCAACACCATAGCCCCGCCAACATTTGCTATTAGTTGATTTCTTGATAGCAGCAATTCTTTCTGAAGTGAGATGGAATCTTAATGTTGTTTTCAACAGATGCTCTTTTTAGTCCAATTTATTGTTATTTTATTTTCATAGCTCCTCAGAAATTCAGGGCTAAAAGGGATCTTAGAGAATTATCCTATCTCATGCTTTCCTTGAGGAGAGTTAACCTCACCTGACAATACTAGCTATAACAAATCAATGGACATATAAGCAAGTTTATGTGAAATATTCTTTTTTCCCTTATCATCTCAGTTGGTTCTCAAATGTCCGCTTCAGTGATTCTCAGGTTTTCCCACCATAACAAGTTAGAGAGAAAGGGAACAATGTTTATGTCAGTGATAGAAGCTAGACCTCAGTGGAGATCTGCAGCAGTGATTTTAACTGAGAGAATTATGGGTATGCCTCCTAGCCCCCATAGTTACCAAAGGGGACAAGGGAAAATCTTGCTGTGGTAATGAGAGGCTTGGAGAGTCTGTGTAGTTTGAGTAAATCCAGGTGATTTAAGCTCCAGTTGAGTCACTAAGACAGTAAATATTTCTTGTTGTATGACCTCAATCTCATTGAGGTATTCTCTTATGTTTCTCATTATTTCTCCATAGAATCTTGTAGTCACCAAATACTCACTTAGTCTGTCTATCTGAAATCAAGTTACCCCAGTTAGTTGGCCATTCTGACTTGTAACCTAAAGGATGGCAGTAGACCCTGTTACCTCCCAACAATCTCAGTTTATGATCAGGCATCTCTAGTTCTTCCTTCATTTGAACCAGGACTTGCCATCCTATAATTTTTCAATAACACAGAGGACTGTAGTATTTCTCCCAAGAGACTGTAGTAAGTCTCTTCTCTAGAGTAAAGATCCCTGATTTTTTAAGCCGTTGGAAATGGTGTCAGGTTCCCCATTCTGGTCATCTTTGTTCGAAGCACTTCCCCAGTGATGTCATAAATCTGACGAATAAAACTGAACTCAGAACAGCATTTGTTGGTTACCTGCTCCTCCTCCTGAGGATGATTGCTGCCATAGCTTTCAAATGGCCTGCTTCTCTGATCTGTTGCCCACATGATTGAGATTTTAAATGGGTCAGGCTATTTTCTTTCCCCTATTTGAGCCCTCCATTTACCTGTAATTGTTCTTAAAACAGAATTTAAACTCTGCTAACAAGTAGCTAACACTCAACCTGATCTTACCCCAGAAAACCCTTCCCATATGATCTTCTGTCACTGAATTTTAGCTATAGGGACCATCACTTAGCTCCTTGAACTTGTAATTTCTTTGGCATCTTCTTCTCTGGCTTTGTGTGGCCATCCACATGTCAGTCCCAGTGCCTCTTCCGGAAGGCCTTTTCTTACTGTCTCCAAGGGTCCCTGCATTGTTTCCTGCTGAACCTTTAGGTACTGGGAAGGAGTCCCTCCCCATGATGAGCTTTCAGTGAAACTGACCAGGGTTATCCATACTTCTTATTTTTATTAATACACTTATGTTATTATAGCATAAGATTGTTTTATTGTATAAGGACAGAGGTCAGTTGAACTTGAGATCAGATTTTGACCATATTTGAAGGTAGAGCTGGCAGGATTTGCTATCCATCTAGATGTGGAATAAAAAAACCAAGGAGTGAACTATAGCTTCAAGGATTTTCCATCTTAGCATCACCAAGAAATGGAGTCACCACTATTGATATGCAGAAACTTGAGGGGGATATCTGGAGTGAGTTTAGGAAATGAAAATCTAAAGTGGTTACAATCCTTAATTCGCTATGCTTCAGTTTCCTCAGCTATAAGAAGGATTTTAAGAGTTAAGGTACATAACTCAAACCAGACTAATAGAGGACTAGGTAAGGAAAAGTAAACTTGGCTGAGCAAAGTGATTGGGTGATAGAGCTTTTACCAAGTCCTTTGGATTTTGGATATGAACGCCTAAGTACAGTGCCCAGATTTTTTTTATGGTAAGATTTTATGCTAAATTGAAGTGCATTTTCTTTGGTATGACATTCAGTTTTCCCGTTGGAAATTAAGGTATTTATTCAAAGTGCCTAAAATCATCTCTCTTAGAAGTGTTCTGCAACCAAGGAGCATCAAAAATTACGTTCCATTTATTCAACAACTTTTATGGCTGTGGTAACCTTCACCTGCAAAAATATTAAAACTCTACTATGGATAGGGTAATATGATAGATTTTGAAAAGCTAATATCACTAAGATAGAATTTATAATGTTATATTCTGGGGATTACTGTAAGCATTTTATCGGGGTTTAACATTATAAGCTTAATACAAGAAATGCATGACTGTCATTATGGAGTGACCCTGTAAAGTTACTCATATGCTGATTCTGAGGGGCAGAGCAGTAGAGGATCAGAATGTATAATGCTAATTTCAGAGGAATGCAGTGCTTGTTGAGACAGTACTCAAAAGAGCTCTTCAGACAGCATATCCCCGCTGAATAGACAAACTTTGAAATGCTTTCATTGCATTTACTTGACTTTATTGTTAGAGAAGAAATCTCGGAGCTAAAATCATAGTTTTATGGGTTTATGATATGCAATTGAAATTAATTTTTTAAAAGTTCTCAAATCTTATTTTTTTTGTATTAAATTCTTTTATTGGTACATTGTAGGTATACAACACAATTACATTTCTCATTGGGAATTGTACCTTTATATAATGCATCTTGGTTCTTATTTTTTTCCCATTCCTAGCCCTCCTTCACACCCTCCACCCTTCCCTATTTACAAGACTTTATTTCCATTTTTTCCATTTCTCATCATTTTTTCCTTTCCCTTCTTTCCTTTCCCCTGCCCCTCCCACTACCCCTACCCCTTTGGACCTTTTCTTCCTATTTTACATTATCTATTATTCATTCTAATCCTTGGTACATTTTAGGTATACAATATAATGACTTTCATCATTGGAAATTTGCACCTTTACATAGTCTCTCTTGGTTCTTGTTTTTCACCCTTGCCCAGCCCTCCCTTCAACCCCTCCAGCCCTCCCTATTTACAAAAATTTTGTTCCTATTTTTCCATTTTCTCATATTAATCCCATTCCCTTCTATCCTTTCCCCTAGCCCTCCCCCTTCCTTCCCCTTTGCCCCTTTTCTTCCTATTTCACATGACCTATTATACATTTAGTCCTTATTTACACTTTCAGTTTCTCACACCAGAGAAACTATTCGGTATTTACACATCTGTGTCCTATTTATTTCACTTAAGAGTATTGCCTCAATGTGCATCCACTTAGCTATAAATGTCTCTAATTTCTCATTTTTTATGGCTGAGTAGTACTCCATTTTATAAACCACATTTTCTTTATCCAGTCTCCAGTTGATGGGCATTTGGGCTGTTTCCAAGTTTTAGCTATTACAAACTGCTGCTATGAACATGGGTGCACATATATCATTGTGGTATGATTCTTTTAATTCTTTGGGGAAGATCCCCAGCAGTGGAATAGCGGGGTCAAATGGGATTTCCAGTCCTAGTTCTTTGAGGTATCTCCATACTGATTTCCACAGAGCTTGTACCAGTCTACACTCCCACCAGCAGTGGAGCAGGGTTCCTCCTTCCTCAACAAATCTTATTTGAAGTCTTAATATCTCAATTACCTTTATATGGGAGGTGTAGTTATATTTCCACCTTATAGGTAACATGTGACTCACTTAACAGCTTCCTTAATAACCAAAACACCTGATGTTTACATGGAAATGGTTCCTTTTGAAGTCTTAACTATTCAAGAATAAGTCCTGTATTCCAGAGTTAATTTGAGAAAAGACAGGGCTCATGTGTCTTGGTCTTAGTTACAGTTAGGGGAGGGGACATATAGTACAAGAGCTCCCTCACTTAGGTCCCCCAAGTCAGTGTTTACAGAAGCACTTCATCATTACCTGAAGGTCATTTCTATGTACTTTACACTTACAGGTATCCAACACACACAAGAATAATTACAGTTAACATTTCCTGAGTACTTGTTCCACGGTGGTTTTTTTTTTTGTAGCGGGGATCAAACCCGGGACCTTGGCACTTTCGAAGCAGGCAGCAGCACCACTGAGCTAAATCCCTGACCCTCCTGAGTACTTGTTAAATTGCCAACCTTTGTTTCAAGCCCTTTGCATATATTAACTTTGTGAATAGTCACAACAGTCCTTCAAAGGGCAGGTTCTGGGATGTACTCATGAAAGATCAAGGACACTGAAGAACACAGATGTTTAGACATTGGCCAAAGCTGCACAGATCACGGTTAGATTTGAGTTTCAAACCCAGGCAATGTGGCCGCAGAGCTCTGCTCTCAGCTGCTATGCTGCGTTGGCTGCTTCTGTAAAACGTAAGCTAAGAGAAATGTGAAAAACACTGAAGTAATTGTAGTTTTTCTTTCCTAAATGAAACTTGTTATACAAAGTCATTTTTAATGTGTATAATTTGGTTTATATATGTGTATATATAAATGAAGGCCACAGCTTTAATTATTTTTAATCTGTCTAGATAACAAAAACATACTTGTGGCCATTAACATGATTTAAAATGATTATTGTAAATACTGATTGTGATTTTTGTATTCTTTCTCCTCAGTTTCATGGTTTTCTCCAAATGAAAATATTCTCATTGTTATTTTCCCAATTTTGGCCATACTTCTGTTCTGGGGACAATTTGGTATTTTAAGTAAGTATTTATTTCTATATTTCTTGTGTATTTAAGTGATGAAATTGGTGCTTCTAGGAGGCAGTCCTACTGAAATTATTTAAGTTGTGTTAGGAACTGTTGTGATTAATAAAATATACAGTTTGAATATTAATAGTCTCCTTGAAATATATATTGTCCTCCATATTTTTCTGTAGTTCATTTTAATTCCTATGAAGATCCTTTTTTTGTTTGTTTTTGTGGCTTTTAATCTCTTAAGTATGACTAATAGGACTACTAATAATAGTTTCAACTCATGTAGCATTTTCATATTTAGAGAACTTTTACACACATACCATTTTATTTGGTAAACATAGTCACAAGCTACATTAGGTTAAAGAAAGAACATTGTACTGCGGAGTATTAGGGTTTCGCTCTCATCCTTCTCCCAGGGTGGACCCTGTAGATATGTGTTCACCCTTGGAGAAGCCCCATGTGCACCATGTTTTGTCATCTGTGGTGTGCAGTTCTGCAGCCCCTACGGAAGCAGCCACAGGAGAGCTGTGTGCTTTGATCTTGCTTTACTGTGATAATAATGTAACCAAACCTCTGGGGGACAAATCTTGATGCCGATCAGACTTACCATCAATAGTACAGAATTGTCATTACAAGGTAAACAGGTCATGTGCTTTGTGGCTAATGTTTATATTCAACCACATTTACATACCAATTTGTTGAAGGAAATTTACTAAATTAGTGAAATTCATTTGTTTCAGTCTCAACTTTTAATGTTTCATCCTCGCTCTCCCTATAGTACCCTGAAGTAATCATTGAAGACCAGCAAATATCTGTGCAAGCAAGGAGTATATGATGATGATTGAATTTATTCTGTAAAAAAAGAATTTAGAAAAACAAAAACTAGTGAAATATTGTAGTAGATCAGCCTCAATTTTTCTTTTCCTCAGAGTTTAAGCTGTGCATATCCTCAGTGATGCATAAAAATGGAAGAGATTATAGATTATAGATTTTAAGATCTTTTCCTAATGTTCAGAGCTCTGGAAATGCTTGGCGATTTCAGAGATGTTCTAAACTTGTGTCTAAAAGGAAAATAGAGGGAACAAAGGGCTGGCTGACAGTGAAAATTGTCAAGACATTTCACAACTGTTACCTTCAAGACAGTGTCTAGACTTCTTTTGGAAATTACCTTAAAATTTCAGTAAGCCTTTTATTTCAAGAGAAGAAACGTTACAGCTTAAAGACCTACTCTGTCATCACTCTGATGTTAGGGAAAGCATTAACCATATTGGCAGACCCAAGCTTCAAGGTTAAGTTTTGTGATTTGGAGAGGGAATGACATTTTTTAAGATCATGAAATTATTTTATATTAGTATGATTTGTTGAATTGTGTTAATAGAAGTTTGCTGATTTTGTGGCATTGTTATTAGTGAAATTATTTTTAGTGGAAATGAAGCAGGAGTGAATCTGTCCCCTGTCAGCTGTTTTTTTACAGAACAAGCTTTACTACTTTTTTCTAAATTAAAAGGTAATACATTTGTCTGTATCCTTGGGGAATTGATTTGGGGACCTCCACAGATAGCAAAGGAGTTCATGAATGCTGGATTCCTTTGTATAAAATCATCTCTAGATTATTTATAGTAACTGACAATGTAAATAGTATGTAAACAATTGTTATATTCTATTGTTCCTGGAATAATGATAAGAGAACAGTCTGTAAATATTCAGTTCATAATTTTTAATTTTAACATTTTCAATTCACAGTGGATTGAATCTGTAGATAAGGAACTCATAGATACAGAAGGCTAGCTGTACATAATAATTTTTTTGTATTAGATATTGAACCCAGGGCTGTTGCACTGAGCTAGATTCCCCACCTCCCTCATTTATTTTAGATTTGGAGACAGTGTCTCACTAAATCTCTGTATAGCCCAGGCTGGGCTCAAACTTATGATTTTCCTGGTTCAGCCTCCTAGACTACTAGGATTATAGGCATGTAGCACCATGCCCAGCTCCTAAAACTTTTGAACACTTGTATAGTACAGGAAGTTCTATAGAGAAAAAATGTCCTGCAGTTTCAAAACTTAGAAATAAACTACTAGTGGGCCGGGTATTTAGCTCAGTGGTTTCGCTGCCTGCTGCTCAAGCGCAAGGACCCGAGTTCGATTTCCGGTACCAAAAAAAAAAAAAACTACTGGTATATTCCAGTGAATTTTCTACTTCCCTTTCTGACTGCCTCTTCCTCCCTTCCTTCCCTCTCTCCCTGTCCCACTGTGTCTGTGTGTATGTTTGTCTGTCTCTATCTTCCTTTATTAAAAATGAAACCATAGATATGCTCATACAGCTTATAAAATTGTGCATCTTGATTTTCCCTGTGTTTTCAAAAATCTTGTTATGGCTCCTGTGCTCTACTTTTATAGATGTGTACTATGGTTTACTTGACTTTCATCTTGTTTGATACTAAGGTTGTTTCCAAATGTTTTGATACTGTGCAATTAACTGTTGAAGATATGTGAGCTAGAGATGCAGAAATATCTTAAGGCTCTAGATACCCATTTCTAAAAAGTGTTCCAGGACCTTTGTATCAGCTACTACTACAGAGGAGAATACCTGTCTTCCACCTCATGCTTCTGACATTATTATTATTATTATTCTAAAATCTTTGCTAGCTTGATAGGTGAAAATGCATGTTGTTTGAATTTTCAGTTCTGTGCTATTAAGGGTAAATGGGGTTTTTTTGGTTTTTGTTTTTTTTATGCTAGTCCTTTTTTAAGGCCTGTCTCTATGAACTAAAAAAATTTTTTGGTGGAAATTTTTTATTGTGGCTCATTTTAAACAAAGAAGTATGTTTGTGTGTGGGGGGGGGACCTCTGTTCATGATTCACCCAGCCTTGCCACACATTTAAAGGTGTTGATTACAGTAGCTAAACATTTGTATAGCTCTTGTTCTGTAGGACAGGCACTATGCTAAGTTCTCTACACCTCAAATCATATTTATGTCTTTCAGGAACTCTGGATACAGGCAGTATTGTATTTCCATTTTGTAAATAAGAAACATAGGCAACTTGACTGTGGAGACCAGCTGTTTTCTGGCAGTACTGGGATTTGAACAGTTATGTTTACCACTACACTGTACTGCTCCCCATCTTGAATTTATTTCAAGAATTTTCTTTCCTTGAAGGATGAACCTATATGTTAAAAACCCTGAGTAGATGTAACTGTTAATTCTAAAGTAGAGGGTTTGCCTAATTTGTTAATTTATTTTGCAAATACACATTGACAGCTGGGCTAAATGCTTAAGATAGTGCAGATCATCTCTGGCTTTGGAGCCCTCACCTGCAGATCCCTTGAGGAGCTGCCTGTGTCTGCTGTCCTATTTCTGATGAGTCTGACTTTTCTTTTGGTGCCTTTGTAAGAGGCTTTGGTTATGTCGTGGGCCTCCCACTTTCCTCATTTGTGCCTGTGAGTTCACCTCCACTGGTTTCTTGGCTGCATCTCGAGCTCTTTGTGGCAGTGTGTCAGGTCCCCAGTCAGCCGTTGGTTCTGCCACTCCACTGTAGTCTCTTCATATTTCACATTCTGCATTCTCACTTTTCACTTCTCTGTCCCTTCATCTTTCTTGCCCAATTTCCTCTTTCAATAATCCATTATAATATGCCATGTGGTTTTGTCACCAGGAGACAAAGAGTAGCACAGCTACATGCTTAGGTGTGTATGCTAACTGAATAACAGACTTGCACTGGCCAATCACCAGTGGTCTTCAAAAGAAGCGACATGACTGGTCACTAATCATGATGCACATCTGCTATTTGTATAGTGATTTGTGGGCTGAAGAGGCACTGGTGAAGTTTGCACTTTATGTACTCTGTTCATCTATTGGTGTAGCTAAAATTTAAACTATATTTTGGAGTTCTTGTGTAACTTAACCATGCTCATGCATATTAGAACCATACAAAGTGAGGACTGCTGTAATTTATTTCAAATTATATATTCTGAGCATCTTTCATTTCCTTTTCTAACTTTCTTGTCCTTCCTGAAGATTATTTCAGAAGGATTTGGGTCACTGCTCATAGGTATTTGGGTAGGTGTTCCTATGGAAATCATTATTGGCAAATTCAAGGAAAAAAATTCTTTGTCACAATACCTTTTAGTCCTCAACTCTAGCTTAGTAATAAAACTAAGCCATGAAAACACATTTAAAAGAAGAAATGGAACAAGGAATTTCTTCATTGATTAGGAAAGATCATTCCAAAGAAGTGAGGACATATTCTAAGTTGCACTGGAAATTTCTATCATAGAAGGTAAATTATCTTTCCAATAAATGTTGCAGTCATTGGCTGATGGCCCTTGCTAATAGGACTTTGTTATTAAGTCTAATGTGTTCTATTTGATCATGTTGCACTTCTAGTGCTTTCTCTTGGTCTTGTCCAGTAATGACCACATTCTATTATTAATTCATGTGGTTATGCACTGATTTTATTGTAGGGAGAACTGACCAAAACTATAGCTCAGCATTTGTCTTTTATGGAAATATAGTTGTTGCTCCTTTGACCCTTTCCAAATCCAGACATCCCTACTTTTTGCATATTTTCTAGAACTGTGAAACTTTTCATAAGATAGTTATTAGATAGTTGATAGTTATTTAGAACCAAGCAATGGAAATTAGTCCATTGGACATCCTCTTTATTTATAATCAAAATACTTGCCACACAAAGCCTGAGCACTTCTGTTTCTAGGTCCTGTAAATAGGGAGTGTGATATTTAGTCTGTATTAATTTTGATAACATTATTTAATCAGTAAGTGGGGTAGTGTATGGAGTTTTACATATCCTTCATTTGTATGTGTGAATGTTAAATGAATGTGTTAAATATTTTAAAGTAGTAATTCAAATGATTTTTAAAATTCAAATTTTAATTTGAATTTTAAAATTATCAAATGTACCTTATCCTGCATTGAATACGTGATTTGTTTGCAGCTCAACAGAGTACCAAAATATTTCTAAATAACTTTCTTAGAGTTATCAGAAAACATATTATAATAAATTAAATCAATTATTTGTCTTCATTTGTGATTTATTTTTAATCTGATATGCATTTCCTCTCATGAATAAGCTTCTTAACTCCACTCACTCACTGATCACTTGGCTGGGGACTAAATGTCATGTCTTTGAGCAAGTATTGAAGTTTGGATTTTGTTAGGTAGACTATGTGAGCCTATATGGATGTATAAAATGTAATGAAAATTTAACATGCTAGATTTTTTATTACCCCCACATAGTGTTGGTATTTGACTAGATTTTATCAGCCACAACATGTAGTCTTATCTTAAATGTGCTCTATGTCAATCACAAAGAGACCAGAAAATCGCGTCCATAACATTAGCACTTTCTTTTATCAGGTGGGCTAAAGGGGCATATTTTTGTTTCAGTCACATAGATTTGAAAGATTTAATACACAAAAGACCTTTCATAGACCAGCAGGAACTACACCTTTTATTTAACTGGGAAAGAACTGGGAATATCATCTCCCTTCATCCCCTGATTCCGGCACACACATTCACCCACTCAAATGTAAAGGCCTTAAGATAAGCCTTGGGCTTGCCTTTTTGTACATTGTTAGCGCTTAGAATAGTGAATATCAGCCAAGTGTGGTGGCACATGCCTATAATCCCAGCACTCGGGAGGCTGAGGCAGGAGGATCGCCAGGAGTTTGAGATCATCCTGGGCTACATAGTGAGCACAGGGCTTGAACTACAAAGCGAGACCCAGCCTCAAAGGAAAAAAAAAAGAATAGTGAATATCACATGGGTTCATAGTATTCAAACAATTTTTATTGAGTAAATAATCTATTTATCCCTTGATTTTGACTGAAGGGCCTGATACCTAGTAAATATTTATAGAACAAAGAAATGAACTAACCTAACACATTTTTTCTGAGACATAGCCTGCTAGAATTAATTATTTTATATTGTCTGAAAGTATATTGAAATTAAATAGCATATATGTATTCTGAAATAAAAGAGGGAGTATTTTAGAATTCCTGATTTGTTGATAAAAATGTTATATTATTTCTCCTGCTGTTTTTGTCTTGATCAGATACCACTAAGGTTATTTTTTTGTGAAAAATGTAAATACTATTATTTTTCACATTTTATTTTGAATATTGATTTCAGTAGTTTTACTGAGAGAAATCTTTAAAAGTATGCAGGTTTATTAAATTACATAAATGTCTTGCTTATGGGTTAGAAAAAAAATATCAGGAAGTTTGATAAGAACACACTGTTAAGGATGCATTAAATTATTATTTGGATTTGTTTTCTTTGTCATATGTAATGATTTGATATGTAAAAAAAACCCACTGAAAGCACAGGAAAAAAAATCACTAATAAAAGGCCACTGAGATTATTTGGCTCTGTAGCATCTCAGTGTAGCTGAGAAAATTGACAACTGGACTGGCAACAAGATACCTGTCCCACACTTGCTGTGGAACCTGCTACGTGGTGGGCATTGTGAGCAAAGAAAATGAGCTAAAAGAGACCTTTATAAAGGTTGCCTAAAGAAAGCCTGGAGATGCACTTTCATTGCCTATCATTACTTAAGCAGACTTCACTACTATTATTTGTTAGAAATGGATGCTTAATTTAAGGAAAACTTCAAGGTAGCCTTGAAAATAAGTAACAGTTGAACCAACTAACAGGAAATAAAGCCACCTGCAATATACATTGTGCTTATTCTTAATCAGAAAAGGCCATGCAATGGTAGCACACTGCCATAGTGGAATTTTGTGGGGTAATTTTTATTCTTGTTGCTATTGTTGGCATTTTCTCCTATACTAGCTCTTCTGAGCCTAAAGACCTTGAACTTTGTATGAGATTCAAACTCTTATTTGACAACTGGCTCTATTTAGTAAATAATGTTCAGTACGTGGGGTTAAAAAGACCTAAGTCTGTTTCTGCGTCTGTGCCTATTATGACCTATGCACTGAATTTCATTCTAGGTGAGATTTGAGCCTAGAAAATAGTGAAGCTGTAAAAATTCTGTACCTCATAAGGAGGCAGGGATATGAGTGAGAAGTAGTCATGCCAGTTCCAGGGCTGGATTCAGGTAAAAGACCACGTAAAACTTCATAGCAGTACTTTTCTGGTTACTGTGGATTTCTCTTCTCTGGTCCATAGGAATTTCTGCTACTCAACCTCACACGTAATTGTTGCTTAGGTCTCTGTCTTCCCCTACAGTGACTAAAATTGAGGTGGTTGTCTACAGTGTGGATAGGTAGAGATTCAAAAAATCTTCAGGTGCCAGCAGTATACCTTTATTTTTTGTGATCATTTACGTTATTAAGCATTTGTTGATTTTATTATATTTATATTTGTTCCTCCTTTTACTGGAGGAAAATTAAATGCATACTACAATACTTAAAATATTTTCTCCCTCACTACAATCACCCAGTGATTACTTACATGGAGAGACTATCTGCATGTGGATGCTACACAGCAGAATTGCAATCATTCGCACTTTATCTCTGCTACTCTGTCAGATTTTAGGTTACCTTTAATAATCTCTTGATGAAACATCAATTTTAATCAAACAAAAAGGTCAATAGATTGCAAAGGAAATATTTTTTAGGCTTATTCATGGCAATGGTAGTAGTCTTTCACTGAGGGTATAAGGTACTAGACAATAAATTTAAGATCACAAACAATAAGTATGATGAATCCTTTTGAGTCTTTGCCAGTTATCTCTATTGAAGTATTTTACTTGAAAAATTTAAGCATTTTTCTCCATAAGGATTTCACAAGGGTGTGATTTACTCAATGTTTATTCTGTCCTGTTTTCACAACAATATATCCAGATTTCCAGATGTTTAATCTTCTGTGAGGTGGAACTTAGTTCTCTTTTTTTCCTCAGTATTGCTAATTAACCAGTTACTTCCCATCAGCATTAATGTGTATCAATGTTGTGTTGTCAGTCTGAGGAGTTTTTGCTCTGAGGACATCTGGGGACATTGGCAGTATCTAAAGACACTTTGACATAACTGCCAGACCATTACTGGCATCTTAAGATGCAGAGTCCAGGGATTGTGCTTAATATTCTGTAAAGCACAGAGCAGCCCCACATGAAAACTTTCATTGCCCAACAGGTTAAAAATGCTTCATCTGAGAAATCTTGATGTATGTACTGGTATCTTCATATTTAAAAGCACGAAGGGCAGGGGTGCTAAAGGATCACCTACATATTCAGCATCCACATTTGTATGCCTGTTTATCTGTTGGCTTATCAGAAACATGTGCCATGACTTGACATTATGAAGGTGTTCCTCAGAAGTTATTCAGCTATAGTGAATTGTGAGTTGTGACTTTGCAAATTGTTTCATGTAATTCTTTGGGGTTTTTTTCAGCACTTAAATATAAGTCCAATTGTACAAGTACGAAAATCATTCTTTTACTTATTGCTGGACTACTGCTCACTATAATTGTCATCGTTGGAGCCATTCTTTTCATCCCAGGTAAGATGTATTCTTACTGTGGGAAATGCAAGGTTGATGTAAGGAGGGCATTCAGTGTTGGGGGCAGGAGGAGTGGTAATGGTTTCCTAGGTGGGCCTGTTTAGCAAATTATGGCAGAGTGGCTTCATACAACAGAATTCTCTGCTCTGGAGACCGTAAGTCTGAAATCAGGGTAATCAACAGAGCCACACTCCCTGTCAAGGCCCTAGGGGAGAATCCATTCTCTGCTTCTTCTGGCTTCTAGTATATGCCAGCAATCTTTGACATTCCTTAGCTTGTGGCAGCATTGCTCCAATGTCTGCCTCCGTGGTCACATTGCCACTTCTTCACCTCTGTGTCTTCTCCTTTGTGTGTGTCGGATCTCCCTCTTACTCTTTTTTTTTAATTATTTTTATTTATTTTTTTTCCCTCTTACTCTTTCACACAAGAACACTTGTCATTGGAATGAGGACCCATGCATATAATCCAGGAGAAGCTACTCCTTCAAGACTTTTAATGTAACTTCACTTTTTTGCCATATAGAGCAGTATTTATAGTTCTAGGGAATGGAGGTTGGGAATATCATTAGGTCACTGTGGAGGCAAACCTCATTGGCCAAGATGCGGAAGTAGCATTTAGATCTGGGGGATGGAAGTGTGAGTGGAAAGTAAGGACAGGGGACACATGGAGAAGAAATGCAAAGAGAGGCTAGCACTCCAAGTAATGGACTATAGAACACCCCTGTGGTTTCTTTAGGAGACTACAATGTAGGTGTGATGTTTAGGAACATAATTTTGGCAGTTATGTTTGTATCTGGAGTTAGGAAGGGCATGGGGAGGAGAGGAATCCAGAACACAACTTGAAAGAGAGGTTGCTTTGGCTTTGGGACACTGAATATAGTGCATGAAGGGAATCTTGGTAAGTGAAGACTACAGAGTTTCTCATCTGGGATTCTGTAAGGGAACCGAGAAGGTTATGCCATTCAAGGAATCCATGTCAAGACATACATGTTGAGATTTATATTCTTTTAGCATTTATTCATTCATTTTCTCTTTTTAAAAGCAAAATATTTATAGGTACATTTTAAATATATATAAAATGATAACATTCATCATAGGGAATTTGTACCTGTACATGATACATCTTGCTTCTTTTTGTCCCATTTTCCCTCTCTTTAAACCCTCTTCCTCTTTTTATGTACAAAAGCTTTGTTTCTAGTTTTTCTTTATTCTCACTTTTCTTGTCCCTTCTTTCCTTTCCCTCTCCTCCCTCCCTTGTTCGCCTTCTCATTTGAACATTTTTTCCCCATATCTATTATACATTTTGGTCCTTTGAGACCATACTCTTAAATGCAATACATCAGACACACATATTTAAATACCTCATTGTTTCTCTGGTGTGAGAAAACAAAAGTGAAAATCAGATTTATAGTCTTAAGTTTGGTCTTAAGTAATTAAAAAACACTCATTTTGCATGAATTTTGGGGGAAACATTTTAAACCTTTCACAGTTTATAGGAGTGGTGCTGAGATTAAAATAAATACTTCATCAAGAATAGGAAGTACATAGGAAAATATTTTAAATACTTTTATTTATTTACAGGAGAATATTCAATAAAGAATTCTTTTGGACTTGGTTTCATTGTAATTTCTACAGGGATATTAATATTACTTCAGTACAATGTGTTTATGACAGGTGAGTATTCTTACAGCATAATTTTGCTAACCTCTTTCATTAAAAAATGTAACACTTTTGATAAAACTACCCTTGTATATTTTAATAACTTAATAAAAGTTGTTTTATTAAAAGATTTTCCATTACATTCTTAGTGGCATACAGAGGATTTTAAGGTTATCTTAGCTCTTCAAGGTAGTTAATTATTTTGTGAAAAATCGTTTTAATATTTGATGTGAAAATATTTTTGTTACCTGTTATCATCATTGTAAATTATGCTATATAAGTTTTAATGATTATCTGCATATTCTAATTTCAGCTTTTGTATTTAGAAGTTGATATTAAATACTATTTTTCTTTTGCTGAGCCTCTGCGTTAATAAGACTAGTTGTACAGGATGGCATTATAATTCACAACTGGTAAAACACTTATTTTAGTTATTGGCAAACCTTGACACTGTAGTTTTAAAGAGAGTATGGCTATCCTAACTAATCAGTATCATTTTCTCCACATTTGAACAGCAAATCCCTAACATACATTTGTTGTTACTACTAAAGAGTCACTTTTGACTCTGGGTCTTAAACTCTCTCTGGCTTGCTGTACACTGGAAAGGTATTAATTTATTATAAATCATAGATGTTCCAGATGTACAACATAGCAGTCGTGATGTTTATAATTGCATGTTTGCATTGTGGCTTTCTCTACCAGAGCAATTTTGTGTCCATGTAGAGAAGCCATGCGTAATTGTCATAGCCATTCATACTGTAAAATGCTCAAGAATGGTCAAAACAGCACTGTTCTGAGATTTTGGTAAAAACTGCCATTCCTGTTTAAATTACTGACAATAAAAGGCTGCCAAGTCTGTGAGTCTGGAACTAACAGTAGAAGGTTCAGATCACTGGAGAAACATCTACCATCTCATCTAAGAAGGAATCGCAGAGTCAATCTTGTGTCTTAAGACCTCACTCTTGATTGCACCAAGCACAAGTAGTAGTAAATGAGACTCTCGGTCACTTCTGTTGTGTCCTTTTCCCTCCCCCAGCTTTTGGGATGACCTCTTTCACCATCGCCATACTGATCACTCAGGTGCTGGGCTATGTACTTGCTGTGGTTGGACTCTGTCTCTGTGTCACAGGTAAAAGTCACATCCTTCTGTAGTCTCAGTTTGGATTTCTTTTAGGAACAGCTCTTCTTTTTTCTTTCCTTCCTTCTTTCTTTTTTTAAATAGCCCTTTGAAAAGTGCAGTTTTAGGTCACAGCAAAATTGAGTGGCAAGAACAGAGAATTACCATACACTCCCACCCCTTTCATATATCCTGCACAGCCACAGCTTTCCTTGACATCTCACACCAGACTGCACACTTGTTACAATCAATGAGCCAACCTCGACACATCACTAAATTACTCAAACTCTGTCGCTTCCATTTCTGCTTAGTCTTGGTGTTGTACATGCTGTGGCTGTGACAAGTGTATAATGGTGTACCCCCATGTGGTATTACACAGAACACTTTCATTGCCCTCAAAAGTCCCTGTGCTCCACTGTGCATCCCTCCCTCCCACTAATCTCCTACCAAGACTGATTTTTTTCCACTAACGTCGTAGTTTTGTACTTTGCAGAATGTTTTAGAGTTAAAATCACATAGAATATAATCTTTCTTTTGGGCTTCTTTCACTTAAAAATATGAATCTAAGTTTCCTTCAGTCTTTTCATAGCTTGACAGTTTATTACTTTTTAGTGCTGAATAACACCCTATTGGGTAGATACACCATAGTTTGTATACGCATTCACCTATTGAGGTATCATGGTTGCTTTCAGGTTTTTGTGATCATAAATAAAGTTGCTCTGAACATCCTTGTGCCTCCTGATTTTGTATAGACATAAATTTTCACTCCATGTGGATAAATACCAAGGAGTGCGGTATTTGGATTGCATGTTAAGGCATGGTTAGTTTTCTAATAACCTGCCAAACCCGCTGGTCCTAATGCAAAATTACCACTGCCAATGAATGAAACTTCCTGTTTTTCTACATACTTGCCAGCATTTGGTGTTGAGAACTTTTTTTCTTAAACTCATTTTTCCCACAGTGAGAATGGTATTTTCCACATTGCTACAAGAATGTTTGCTGGATGTGGTGTGTTTTGGCAGCCAAACTATTGTGCCTATATTTTTGGAAAAACTTTTAAAAGAACCAGGCACCAGTATGTTGGAGCCTTAGACTTTATACACTTTTTCATTGGTTTTGATATGATAAGGTGTGTGTAATGGAAAGATGGGCTTTTTTCTTACAATAATTTGGAGTTACTTCATTGACAAAGATAATAGATGATTTTTGTTATCTATGTGTGCATAATTTTTGTTAATCATTAGAACAAGAGCTAGTCTCCTTAAAACATTATCATTATCAATTTCATTTTAAAAATTCAGGCATTTTATAGCCATTTTTAATATAAGATTTCATTTGTTTTTACAGCATGTGTGCCAGTACATGGTCCTCTTCTGATTTCAGGTTTGGGTATCATAGCTCTAGCGGAATTACTTGGACTAGTTTATATGAAATTTGTGGGTAAGTCAATCTTATTTTTGTAAACCTATGCCGGGAATTTTTGACATATAACACAAAATGTTTTTAGGGCCAAGAATTGTATTGATAACTGCAAAAATGAGAAAAGTACCAGTGGAATGAGGATAATTAATACATTCCTGCTGGCTTCCCCCATGCTGCCTGATGGGACAGTCATCCATGTACCGCCAGTGGTTCAGAGCTGCCCAGCAGCAAGACATGAATTATAGTCCCCTCATGAATGTGTTGAGGAGGGTTTCTACCTCAGTGTATATGATGTATATGAGTTATTGAAAAGTTTGGATTATAAACGACTTTAAAAGAAAGTGGCTTTATGTTTTAGAGTATATAGACTTTATACCGAGTAAAGGAAAAGATTTTTGAAGGATCCACTTGAATTAACAGAAAAGGAATCTTAATGGTTCCATTATTTCTGTGATAGAGCTCTTTGGCATAGACCTATTTGTCTCTTGAAGTTCTTCACACTGTTTATACACATGGACAATTCTAAGCAAACAGAAATTGACAATCAAAATCTTTCACTTATGTTAATTTTAAGAGCAGCAACTTCTAGTGCGTGACTTTAACACATTTGTTTTTAGATTTAGAATTTTACTACTTTTAAAATCAGTTCTTAGTAAGTATGGAATTAGCTTTTTTCTTTTAACCTTGTTATTTAATATGCCAGTTTTCAAATAGGAAGTCCTGCATAAATCCTATTTTGACTAAATATAGAGAAATAGATGCTTTTAATAGTGCCCAAACTAGTGTGTTGCCTTACTTAAGCTATAGATATTCCCTACAATCTGATTTACAGTTGTCCTCTCATGATGAAGTAAAACTCTTCACCACCTACCAAAATAAGTTACAAATTAATGAAATAAAAAATCAGTGCTTCACTTTGGTTTGGGTGAACTTTATGTTTCTAAAAGCTAATCCAAATACGAATTGTTATAGTCAAGAAATTTACCATATGAATTAGTAATACTTTCAGAGAAATTTTGCTTTTTTTTCTGAACTTTAACTCATGATGACAGTTTGGTTTTGTTATATTTCCTCTATTCTCCTTTAGTTAATGCTTCTTAGATATATAATTGAAATAGCCAGAATCTACCTATCATTAGTTTATGTACTTATAGTTGTTTCTCAGTGAAATTTCCTAATTTATTCCACCTAAGACCATAAACACAATTAAGATATCTTAAGTTGACTGGCATTCATGTAGTAGCTATAGTGAGCATCTTGAATGTTTATACATATTTTATGTTTGTTCCATCTTCCAGTCACCATGGGTTTGGTTCATAAAGGATGACTGATTTCATTGTTCCCCATGTGTGCCTAAGAACAGTATGTGAACTGCACATTCACATAACCCGTGAAATGATATTAGGTGTCTTTGCCTGATCGTGAGCTCTGTATTCTTATTTCTCACTATCTGGATTGCTTCCCTTTCCCTTCCTGTGCTTCCCCATGCTTTCCACATCTGACAAAGGATAATGTTCAGTACAGTTGCCTCAGGTCTGCAGTCCCAAGTTGCCTAGCTGCCACTCCTTGACCTTGCTGTCTGAACCTCCCCAGTGCTCACATCCCTGAGAGGCCTATGACATTGTGCAATTACAAAGGTTACTGCGATAAAATTAGAGTGAAAGTGAAAGGCCTACAAGTTCCTCAAATTATTTTTTCTTTATCATAGTTTGATGTATAAATATACTGTAAGTTAAGAATTTGGTTCAATTTCATTAACATTTTGAAAATATCATAAATTAACTTTTCAAATCAACTTGTCCAGTGTCAGAGTGCAGAAAGATACCTTTGGTCAGTTGAAAGGCAAGAAGAGAAAAGTTACAGGAAAGTTGCTCTTTAGATAATTTGGTAGACTAGGAAAATTGATGTTTTGCTTATATGATCTGACTCTGTAAATCTGAATATGTGTAACATTAAGGTTGCAAATTTGAGCATTTTTATCAGGAAGTAAAAGTTGTAAATGTTTCAAAAATAATTTTTACTCATTGCAGATGTACTATTTTAGAAAATGAATTTCTTGATTTAAATGCAATAAAATCCTCAGATAGTATTTTTAAAAATGCCAAACTCTTTAAACATGAATTAATGAGAAATTTAACTTTTGTATCTTTCATTATTTCCAAGTTTAAATTTGTAGCCTTAATTGTTAAGAGTGGGATTTGACTTTCACTTTCTTTTTTAACTATTGGATTGAAATATATTTAAAAAGTGCATTTTACTTTTATAAAGTGAGACGGGGCTAGAAAAATGACTTAGTGGAGCTGGGGATTTAGCTCAGTGGTTCTGGCACCTACCTCACAAGCTCAAGGTCCTGAGTTCAATCCCCGGTACCAAAAAAAAAAAAAA